AAGGTCCTTTCCAACCTTAGTGATTCTGCGACTCTGTGAACTCCCTTCAAAGCAGATTAGTTAAAGAGACCAAGGAGTAGGCCATTACATTTCAAGAGCAAGTTACTTGTATGGAATTACCCATGCCTTTATTGTTAATAACTGTACTATACCCATGCTATGCTTGAGTATCTCAGTGAAGAGGTGTATGTTACTGTATCCCATTTTCTATCATTAGACCGAAGCGTATCTTACATCCTTGCTCATAACAAAATCTACTCCAGTCCGTCAATATCGCCTCCCCCACTGCAGCATCAAAAACTTCCTCAAATAACATCATACAGGAAGGTAAATGTAAGTCTTTCTTATGCTGGTATTAGAAACCTTTTGTAGCTGAGTCTGAAAGTACAGTTTTCTGTCCAACATCCCTGCTCAAAGTAAACCATCTTCAAAGTTACATAAGGTTGCTTAGGGCCACGTTCAGTTGGATTTTGAATATCTCCAGGGATACAGACTCCCTAGCCTCCCTGGACAGCTGTTCCAATGTTTGACTACCCTCATTGTGAAGAACTTTTTTCTTTATAACTCATTGATATTTCTCTTGCTACGGTTCTATCTGTTGCCTTGTATCCTGTGGCGTACCTCTGGAAAGAGGCTGCCTCCATTTTCCTTATAAGGACCCTTTACATAGTTGAGGACAGCAATCAGCTTATTGCCCCCACCCCACACTCCTGCCATCCTTAGCCTACTTTTCTTCAGGCTGAACAAGCCCAGCTCTTCCAGCCTTGCCTTGTACCTAATATACTCTATCCTGCTATCCGTCTTGGTAGCCCTCTGCTAAACTTCCTCCATTTTGTCAACAGCTTTCTTGCACTGGGAAGCCTAAAACTGGGAAACCATGAATCAGTATAAGCTAAGGGCCACCCAGCTGGAAAGCAGCTTGGCAGAAAAGGATCTGGGAGTCCTGGTGGACACCAGGTTGAACATGAGCCAGGAATATGCCCTTGCCGCAAAGAAGGCAAATGGTATCCTGGGCTGCATTAGGCAAAACGTTGCCAGCAGGTTGAAGGCGGTGATCCTTCCCCTTTACTCAGCAGCAGTAAGGCCACATGGATGCACTCGAGAGAGTCGAGTGAAGGGCTACAAAGATGAAGGGACTGGCACACCTCATGCGTGAGGAAAGGTTGCGAGCGCTGGGACTGTTAGCCTAGAGAAGAGACGGCGTGGGGGGATCTTACTAATGTATATCGATACCTGAGGGGAGGGCGCGAAGAGCATGGATGGAGCCAGGCTCTCTTCAGTAGTGCCCAGTGGCAGGACCAGAGGCAATGGGCACAAACTGAAACATGGGGGGTTACGTTTGAACATAAGGAAACACTTTTTTACTGTGCAGACGACTGAGCACTGGAATAGGTTGCCCAGGGACCTTGTGGAGTCTGCCTCCTTAAAGATACTCAAAAATGTCAGAACACGGTCCTGGGCAACTGGCTCCATATGGTCCTGCTTGAACAGGGCAGGGGTTGGACCAGATAACTGCCAGAGGTCCCTTTCAACCTCAACCATTCTCTGATTCTGTGAAAACTGGACTCAGTACTCCAGATACAGTTGTCACAGTGCAACTAGGCAGGGATAATTGCTTCCATTGACCTGTTGGCTGCACTTTTACCACTGCATCTCTGTATTGCGTTGAGCCACCATCGCTGAAAAGGTTCTGCTTTTTTCATCTTGTTGCCTGCCAGAAACCCCCAAGTCATTTTCAGCCAAGCTGCTTTCTAGTCATCCTCAGCCTGTATTGGTGGATGGGGTTGTTTTATTCCAGGTGCAAGATTCTGCATTTGCCTTTGCTGTATTTCATGAGGTTCCTGTCAGCACATTTCCCCAGCCTGTTGAGATCCCCCTGACTGGCACATCAACTGTACCATCCCCCCATTCTGGTGTCATCTGCAAGCTTGCTGAGGGTGCACACTGTCCTGTTGTCCAGGTCATTAATGACAGTGTTAGACTATTTCCCCAAGTCCTGAACCCCGAGGAACGACACTTAAAACTGTCCACCAGTCAGACTTCAAATCACTGGCCACCACCCGTTAAGCCTGACAGTCCAACCGATTTCCTGTTTACTGCATGGCACACTCAGTCGGCAGTGCTCCAGTTTGGCTACAAAGATACTTGTGTAACAGCCATGCAGAAGCCCTTGCTAAAGTCAGGAAAAACCTTATCTTCTGCTGCCCCTTGTCCACGCAGCCAGCCTTCTGTTTGTAGAAGGCAATCTGATTGGGTCAAACATGGTTTGTCCTTGGTAAATCCCTGCTGTCTGATCCCAGTTGTCTTTCTGTTAGTCCTGTGCCTGGAAATGGCTTACAGGAAGATTTGCTCCACAATTTTCCCTCAGACTGAAGTAAGGCTGACTTGACGTAGTTCCCTAGTTGATGCTTTTGCTCTTTTTAAAGGTGGGCACAACATTTTAGTTATAAAAAACAATTACAACCCAAAGTAATTGCAGGAACATCTACTTCAGATAAGGATTATCATCAGCTTGCTCTCTTGCTGTTGTTACTGCTGACAGGCTTTTTTAGAACAGAAGTAATTTATTGCCTTGTAAAATTCTCTGCAAAGATGTGATGTCAAATCAATTAATAACGAGGAGGCTTCGGTACAATAGTGTCTAATGAATGGCTGCCTGAGCACTAAATAATATCAGGAGAATTTTCTTCAGGCAAGCAAATGGTTTAATGTGAAGTGGTACAGTTGAGTTACTTGATGCTAATACAGTATCATTACTTCTATTTCTCTTTGTAGTTTTATGTGGTCTTTTGAGAAGATTCACAGAAGCATAGCACATATCTTCCAGGGGGAGCTGGTGGCCAGCTTCGATGAAGAATTCCGAATTTTGTTTGCACAGTCAGAACCTCTTGTTCCTCCAGCCAATGTTTTGGCAAAGGCAGAGAACACATTTGCCATGACTCCCTTTGGCAATAACATGCCTTTCTTTCAAAAAAAAGCACCCCTGATGTTCCAGAGGGATGACAGTCTTTTCCCCTCCTTTATGGACAGAGTTGATCCAGACAGGTACTTCCTGTCAAATTTCAGGCGGGATGACATGTTGCGCCATACTGTGGAGGGATCGGCCATGCGAATGTATAAAAAGGTAGAAATGGAGAATTCTCAGATGGATCCTGTCAGGGGTTTTCTCCGTTCTAAGCAGTTGGAGTTGGATGCTTTTAAGAGACACAGTTTTGCAGAGGGAACATTTGAAAATTTTGCTTCTTCTAAACAGTATGCCAGGCAGATGTTCATGAACAATATGGATGAATTTAAAATCCAGTCTAGTCATTTTCAGAAGGATCAGTTCTACCAGTACCAGTTTGAACATCCCCATCTTTCTGGCAGACCTCAGGGACTCTTTGAGAGAATTCGAGGTGGTAGGCCAGGATTCAATGAACTGGAAGACTATGGAGAGGGGCCCAGATACCCTGAACTTGAATCCAATTTTCCACAGGAGGGTTTCCCCTTAAGGCTGGATTACGTACCTTCAAATTCTTCCAGGGAAGTGAGACATGGCTCTGATCAGCTGAATCCTGCAGGCAACGGCCCAATGGGAATGATGTTAAGGCGGCAGAATATAGGACAGAAATTTATTTGCCAGACTTCTCCTACACAGAAACAAAGCCTGGAACAACACCTGTTCTTACAAGACAAAGATGAGGACCAAGATGAAGACAAGAACACACAGGAAAATAGAACAGGTTTACGTAACTGGAGGATTTCTTCATACCTTAGTGCATACCAGTCCGAACCAGAAGAAGGTCTTCCAATGCCTATGGAATCAGAGGCATATAATGATGTTCTTGGGGATAGCCTCACAAAGCACCCCACTGACCTCATCCCAGCATTCAGATCCCCTATTTCTTTTAATAGTAAGTCACTGGGAATTGAAAGTGCCAAAGAATTTGCAGATCCTGATAGAGTAGGTGAAGAAACCCCTATGATGAAACAAGATGCCTTTAGGTCCAGGATAAATCCTTTGATCCAAAGGAGCTCAAGACTCAGGTCCTCTCTGATTTTCAGTGCTGCCAAGTTAGATCAGCCTAACACCACAATAGAAAAGGTTCAGATGATCCAAAAAGAACAAATGTCCAGTGAGTTGACAAAAGACAATGAAACTATAAAGACAGCCGCCTCATCTAAAGTGGCAGAACTTTTAGAGAAGTACAAAGCTGTGGGCAAAGACACAGAGCGAGCTACAATCACTCATACCAAAGCTGTTTCCAGTTATCTGCAGGAAGAATCACAGAACACAGAGAAGAAATGTATGAAATCTGTGCAGTATAAGATTCTGGAGAGTAGGGTACTTGACTCCAAAGACTCCTGCAGTACTTACAAAGTGCATGGAGAGGCTGACAGACCATTTGGAATAGCCTCATCAACCCCCCAGCTTGTTGACACATTGAGTAAAGATCCTTTAGCACATATTAGCACTAAGGTGGACAAATTATCATCTCGGTTTTATCCCATAGAGAATAAACCTGCTCTTCCAGAGAAGGAGAGTCTTGTATTTGTAGGAGACACTCAGAAATTGAGTCTTCCAGAGAAGAAGGAAAGAGAACTCAAAAATTAGTCAATACAGAACTGAAGAAACCACAGATTAGGACAAGTACCACATCAGTTCTTGAAAATTTATCTAGAAGTCAAGGATCTGATAGCTCTCTCAATAAATCTGAGGAAGACTGTTCAAAACAAGAACAAAATCCAATGGAATTTTTAAGAAAAGGGTCACTACGGCTGAAGCAGCTTCTGAACCCAAAAGGTGACAAGAAATTGGAGGAGGAACCCACTTCTGAGAGTGGAAAATCTGACAAGCAGGCTGTGGTTCTCAAACGATCTTCCACAGGGGATTGTCAGGATATGATGGAGGAAGAAAAAGCCCATAAATTTGCAACACCACTTCCTCCCAAAAGCAGCCAGCCAACACAGGGGAGATTTCCTTCATCCACAGCTAACATCCTGTACAGCAGCAACCTCCGTGATGATACCAAGGTAATTTTGGAACAAATCTCTGCAAACAGTCAGAAGAACAGAGCTGAACTGGCCAAGCAACTACCATCCACTAGTAATCCTGATCTTTCTAAGTCAACTACAAGCTTGGAAAGAAAAGGTGAGAAGGAGAAAAGCTGTAACATCCACAGGTCAGAGAGTTTTGGGAGCCAGAAACGAAATCTTCAGCGGCAACCATCAGAGGATAGAGATACCCTTCTGAAAAAAATGGAGAATATGCGGAAGGAGAAGCGAGTCTACAGTAGATTTGAGGTCTTCTGCAAAAAGGATGAACATACAAGTCAAAGCGAAGAGGAATATGACACAGATGCCAAAGACAAGAAGATGGGAAAATTCATGCCCAAAATCCTGGGGACCTTCAAGACCAAAAAATGATCATAGAAATACTATTTAATTCCATATAATCACTGACTGTCAAAGGGGAATGAGAAAATAACTTGTTTGTGATGGCTATAAGCACCATAGGCAATATTCTTCATATGGAATGTGACTAGCTAGTGGAAATGTGTTCAGCATTAGGCTCCTATGGCACAATTTGCCCAATAAAGTCATGTGGTATCAGGCAACCTTATCACAGTATGGTTCAAATAAAATTATTACATTGCCAAGATGCTTAAAACAAAGAAATAATGTAAGAGTCTCTTTATGTTATGCTCAGGGAATATTCTCAGCAGACAAAATAATTCCACTTTCAGAAGGAAAAAATAAAAAATAGAAAATTCAATACTTGAGTTCAATCCAGGAAAGAAAAATACACACAGACACATGCACCTAGAATAGTGTTTAAAAACCAATTGTTTCTCAGTTAGAGTTATCTTTTCTTTGTATCTAATAATGAATCAAATACGGGATGCACCTTTTTGAACTTCTACAGGAGAAAAAAATACTGTAAACAACTTTTTGTCCTTATCTATTGTTATGGTCTTGTCGAGCGGTACATGCTGAGCTTGCATATTTACCATTTTCTAAGCCTATTGGTTCTGTTTTGTTATTGGTTTGTTTCCTTATGTATAATGGAAGTATTGCTTTAGGGGGTGAGCTGAAAGAAGCAGCGGAAAGGCCATAGAAAAGGAAATTGACATGCTATTAATGGAGAAAGACCTGGGTTTAGGACTCCTTTTCAGCTGAGTCAGCAGTGTAATTAACCATCTAAAATGAGAGAAAAATGGCCTCAAGTTGCACCAGGGGAGGTTTAGACTAGATACTAGGAAAAATTTCTTTACTGAGAGAGTGGTCAAGCATTGGAACAGGCTGCCCAGGGAGGTGGTGGAGTCATCATCACTGGAAGTGTTCGAAAAACGTGTAAATGTGGCACTTCAGGATATGGTTTAGTGGGCATGGGGGTGTTGAGTTGATGGTTGGACTTGATGATCTTAAAGGTCTTTTCCAACCTTAATGATTCTGTGATTCTGTAAAATGGTGTCTTGGCCAAGTAGTAACTTCCTTGACAATGTAACTCCAAATGAGTATTAGGGAGCTGGGAATCCCTCCAAATGGAATATCACATTCCCATTAGCTTGGGTTTCATGATTACCCATTTGTGACACTAGCTGCAAGCTCAGCAAACCAGTTCAAGTACGTGGCTGACAGATGGAGGCAAGAGGCTGCATCGGTTCCTGAAGGTAACTTCAGTAGGGTCTTTAGAACTTTAGCTTTTTTTTTTTTAAGAGCACCAGCTCACATGGTAGCAGGCTTTATATAATTTACTAGGCTTTATATAATTTACATATCTCTAACAGTTAATGATTATTTTCCTGTTTGTTGAAAACCTTGGGAAGTGAATGTGCAGAAAGATAGATTGTCTGATCTAAAAAAAAATTAAGCTGATTTCCATATTAATACAGATGGCCTTAAAAAGCTGCAAGAATCAAGAGGAATTATCATTTTAACATGAGGAGGTAAACTTAGAAATAGGAAAAGAAAAAAAAAAAGCAGACAAAATTGGAAAAAAAGATGAAATGGATTTCTTACGCTTATTTCATATTGTATAAATGTGTACCATTTCAGATACAACCCGTAATCTGTTACATATCTACAAATTCTTAAATGAATGCTATATGTATACTTATTTTGTCTGCTCTTAGTAATGAATCAGATCCAGTTATTGGTGTGTCCCAAAATGAACTGTAATGATCAACACAGCTGTTCTCTGCCAGATGATACAGATGGAGATTATTTTACTCTAGAGAGGAAGACAGGCACGTGCTCTCTCTCTCTCTCTCTATCCCCCCCTCCTTCCATATATGCTAGCCCTGTTTTGTGTAATGTGTAATTCTTACATCATTCCATACCTTCCCAGACTTTCCCAAACCTACCTGCTCCAGAATCATTCTGTAATAGACAAATTAGAAATCTAGTTATTTTTATAGTCACGGATTATATTAACATTTTAGAATTTTGCTGTATTTGGTTAGATTTTTAGAATTGTATCTTGCTCAGTATGGTGCATTCCGTGTAAAAGTATGTTCCTGACCAGAACTAGAATGACTCATCTCTTTTAGTGACATGTTGATTACCAGATGTTGTAGGTGTATACAAATATTGCAGAATAACTAATTCACTTGGTAATAACAAAAGCCATTTTAAGAATAAATAGTGTTACAGCCCATCACCTCACAGTCTGAGACTAGGTTCATAGAGGATCTTGGATGTTGTGTTGTATCATAAGATTGCTAGGTGCTATGCTTTCAGTGGAAGTCACAACCCTGAATTAAGCAGTAGGCTCACTTTTCTGTGCATGAGAACCGGCATCTTAGAGTCACAAGAGCCAACATGCTGCGCAGAGTACTGCCTACACAACATGTTCACCCTGTCATTGCCATTTCCTGTATCTACCTGTAGCTGAGATGTAGACAGGAAATGCCTATTTTATGACTATACCAGCATAAACCAGGATTTCCCTGTGAGCTGCATTCCCAGCTCCGTAATATTACCAGACTTAAGTGACGACACCTGATATCAGAAGTGAATGTACTTTTTTTTTTTTTTTTTTAACTTAACTAGTCTTTGATGTTTAGGTACTAAAAGATAAAATGGATATTCTATCAATGGCAGTGGTACACACATGTTGGAATTTAGTGCTGAATCCCCTCCGTAATTGTAGTCCCAACATTCTGTAATAACAACCATTTATCATAAGAGAAGTAAAATTTCAGGGGCAGACTTCTTATATGAACTTTAAGTTACTGAGGAGAATGTATTAAAAAAATCAGCATTAAAACAGGAATATAGTTTTAAAGTTAGTCTCACTGTTGCCTGATAACAATTTCATGATGTTTCAGCAATATTATCTCTTGAAACACTGCTTTATGAAAGAAAAAAAAAATTACCATATTATTCATTGAACAAGATACCCCTGTATTTTTCCCTTTCACACACAGCAAACATTGATTGAAAGACAAAAATTTTATGTAGTGCAAGGATTTATTATTACAATATTTACAATATTACATAGTAGGTAAGATACTAACTATTGTAGCAGACCACACCTATATTTAAAATGCTCTTCTACTTGATTTTAATGAAAATAAGCCACCATTGAATATGTTCATTTATCCCAGAAGAGTCATAGAAATTAGTGGAAAACAAAATGAAGAGCTTTATCTGTGAAGCGTCAGTGAACAGTTATTTATCTGTTCTGCCCAAAAAAAACCCCAACACATTTAGGCAGTGCACCTGAAACTGCTAAAGAAACAGAATGGGTTGGAAGGGACCTTCAGAGATCATCTAGTCCAACCCCCCGGCCTTGGGCAGGGACATCTTTCACAAGATCAGGTTGCTCAGAGCCTCATCCAACCTGACCTTGAACACTTCCAATGATGGGGCATCCAAAACTTCTCTAGGCAACCTGGTCCAGTGTATCACCACCCTCATGGTAAAAGATTTCTTCCTTGTGTCCAGTCTAAACCTACCCTCTTTCAGTTTAAAACCATTGCCCCTTGCTCTGTCACTAGAGGCCCTGCTAAAAAGTCTGTCCCCATCTTTCTTACAAGGCCCCTTTAAGTACTGGAAGGCTGCAGTAAGGTCTCCCCAGAGCCTTCTCTTCTCCAGGCTGAACAACCCCAACTCTCTCAGCCTGTCCTCACAGAAGAGCTGTTCCAGCCCTCTGAGCATTTTGGTGGCCCTCTTCTGGACACTCTCCAACAGCTCCATGTCCTTCCTGTGCTAAGCGCTCCAGAGCTGGATGCAGCACTGCAGGGGGTTCTCACCAGAGCGGGACAGAGGGGCAGAATCCCCTCCCTTGACATGCTGGCCACACCACTTTGGATGCAGCCCAGGGTACAGTTGGCCCTCTGGGCTGCGAGCGCACATTGCTGACTCATGTCCAGCTTTTCATCCCCCAGTATCCCTGAGTCTTTCTCGTCATGGCTGCTCATTCACCCCTTCATCCCCCAGCCTGTATTGACACCCGGGGGTTGCCCTGACGCAGATGCAGGACCCTGCACTTGGCCTTGTTGAACTTCATGACGTGCATACGGGCTCTGAATATATCTGAATATATCTAAATATATACAAGTGTCAGAATATTGCGGGTTTCTGTAATTTTTTGCAATAATTCACATGAGGAATATGAACTGACAGTATTAACTGTTCTGATGATATGGGAGCAAATAGTGCTGTGCCTTTGTCTGGTAAGACTGGCAGGCATAGGGATTAGATTCTCTTTCCTGTTGGTTTGTCCAGAGGAGAATAGTACATTGTTCCATGCAATGAATAGCACATTTCCCTTCAGCTGGAGTAACTGTCAAATGCCTGTTATATTTTGCTCTCGCTTGCTGTTACTGGCTGAGTTAGGGGACTGATGAGATGAGCTGTACTTCACCTGGTTAGAACACTTCCACATTCACGGCTCATGCTATTGGGAGGACTTTGATATTGGAAGACTCTGCAGTGCAGATTTACATATGGTTCCATAGGCCTGGGAGTAACTGCCCATTGATGCTTTTGGATCACCAGAAGCTCCCATATTTGCAGTAATCTGGAACATCTTTTTACTGGACTTCAGAAGGGGACGAACATCTTTGCTGTGAAACTGAGTATTTTTTGGATTCTGAGAGAGAAAGAAAAGCCAAGCTAGTTAGTAACCTGTAATCAGCTTTCTAAAAAACAAATAAGGAACACAGACTTTGGTTAAGCTGTGGAGTAGGACAGATCATGAATGTTATGGGATTAATAAACAAAACACTGTTTTGTAAGATCAAGAATAGGATGGTGACAATGATGTGAAGGAGAAGGGCTTAAAAATGGGTGCATCAAGAATGAGCTAGAGGCACTGGAGCAAGATATGACAAACTAATCCTGCATCGGAGCAGAAGTCCAAAGGCCTGTTTGGCTAGTATCTTGTTTTCAACAGTAGTGAATGCTTTAAATATAAGTACAAAACCAGATCATCATTATTTCCCAGTATATCTTCCTGGCTTCTGCCAATCAAACAGCTTGGTGACTTTCTGAGATAGAAGCTGCATATGGATGCTGTGTTTATCAGCCCTTGTGGGGAAAAGTTTATAATACATTAATACATTACAATACATTTGAATCTGCAGTTCAAGAGGAGAGCTGTTTCACTGCAGCTTACGCTTTGTCAGCCTCTATAGTTAACTGAAAGGCAGGAGTTTCCACTCACTATTGTGGCACTGGCTGCTGTCACCCCAGCCATCACAGGAGTCTTTCCTGGTCAAATTGCTGAGAACAAGAATTTCATGAGCCTATTAGGATATTGAAAACTAATCCAGACTGAATGCAGAGAAAACTGGAATGTCAGAACTTTTCAGCTCCTGCGGAGGCTGAGTGAGAAAGATGGAAAAATCAACATTCACTTAACATAGGATCAGCCACAATGCTGATGACCTTCTACCACAATATCCTGTCTGACACTAGTCAGTATTAGCCTCTCAGGGAACAAATATAAAGCACAGGGCATGTGTAGGGTGATCTTCTCCCTAGTATGCCCTTCCAGTAACAGAAAGTTGGTCATAATTACCTGAAGATTCTTCAAAATGCATTGTTCATATGTACATCTGCATATGCAGCAATATCCACAATCTCATATTGTGGAATAAATAGTTCCACACTTGCTTCACACTTGTGGAATAAATGGTTCCCCTCACACTCAAAACATTTTGAATGGGATTCCAAAGCAGAGGAGCTTAAAGATGGGTTGCAAGTGTGCATGTGGACATACTTGGAAGTTAGTGGCAATCATGTCTCTTTTTAACAGTTACTCATGTATTTTCATGTCAATCACAACAGTAAGAAGAGATCCAGGAGGAACAAGCTTGACTCTTAACAGTGTTTGCAGCTTGTTTCTAGCTTGAAATGGTTCCGATCATTCAGAGCAGTTTGAAGAAATAATTTGCTTTAAGGTAAATATGATATTGCATGCTGACACAAAGCAGGTGATCCCACCCAACTCATCTTTGATAGCGGTGTCTATCAGAAGCCTCTTCACACAACTGTGCTCATCATATATTTTGAATGGCTGCGACTCCAGCGCATAAGAACTCAAGTATTCTTTTGTGGGATGTCATAAAGGCCCACGACAAACAAGTCCATCTTTAGTGGCACAGAAAAAGTAATCTGTGGTGCCTCCTTCCATATTCTTCCTCTGCCATAAGCTTCCCCTGATCACCTTGTGTTGGCTAGACTCTCGTTGAGCTAGTCAGCAAACAACTAGCTCAGGAAAAAGCGGGGGCAAGGAGGTCGTTTAAGAATCGAATGAGGAGAAGAACTTTTACAAGGAAGCGTGGCCAAGAACATGGAAGAGGGAGGAGCAGAGAGGACAGGACTGAAACCTTCATTATTCAGCAACAGCAATCCACTAGGTTCATTCTAGAGGTAGTGCAAATTCTCCAGCTAAATTTGGAATATCCAAAAGTCTCAATTTGGTTAAAAAGAAATTTGCTACATACACACTTTGACCAGGACAAGCCATCATTGAAGATAATGTAAAAGCAACTGATCTGTCATTCTCAAAGTCAAAAGAAGTTTTTGGTGCTGCTGATAATCTGAACACCATGATAATCTGAAATGGTGGTCAAACCCTTGCTTGTCTGAACTGATGAAAGAAGAATGGAGTCCAAAACTAGCCTGTCCTCTAGAAAAAGGGCAGTAGAAAAAAACTGATATATCTCAACACATCTCAAAAGATGCTGCATTAAAAACTCAAGATGGGAAAAGGAAGTAGAGGCAGAGAATCTGCAGAGATATTTTTAATTTTCTTTTTCATTACAGTTAGCTGACATATATGAGCCATTACAATTAATCTTTGTGAAAAAAATACTGCTAATGAGGCAGAGACCTAGATTTACAAGAGGGCTGTGTTACTTCATGTTCTCAGAAGTATCTAATTCCCATACTTAAATTCAACAGTCATTCACAAAACTCCTGCATAAACCTATAGGCATCAAAATATTCTTGCTGCTCAAGTCGCAGGTGATAGGGTTTTTAAAAGACTGGGGTTAGACTTAAAACTCCAGGAGAAAGTTAGTGTTTATAAACCCAGACTAGCTGAAGATCAGCTTTACATATGCTGGAGATGTAAAGTTTAAGCCATATCTGTGCCCTTAGAATTTCCTGGTGATTACTATAGATGGTCTTCCTCTCCACACTCTACCTCATGCACAGAACTTAGCTCAGGGTTGTAAACTTCATTAGTAGACAAAACACCTGAAATGTGGGCATTGCAACACTGAAGACTGCAATATACAAGTTCCTACATGAATCTACCCCATATTAGAGGCAAGTTATGTCTAGTTATTTCCTCTACTAGCAAAAATTCTTCAGTTAGCACACTCTTGAGCTCTCTAGTGAAGGGAACATACCTTGTACAAGCCAAACCGCCTTGTCAAACTAAGCTACTAGTACCATTTGACTGACACTACATACAAGCAACAAAATCGAAGCGTGCATCTTTGTCTTAAGTAATTTTAACTGATAAAAAATTATTTAGTCACAGAGCAATATGCCTTGCCTCTCATTTAAATATCTTTACAAAGTTGCAAAATAATATATACTGTGTCTGTATCATTTTGGTCCATGAAATGTTAAGGGTGTTTGTTTTTGTAGGACTGCTACTCACATTACAAAGGTTCTGTACACTTGTAGGAGGTAGCCGAGCATTTGCACTTGCATTTGCCCATGTGATTTGTCTCCCCAGTTTGCAATTGGAGATTCTGGCCTGTTGAGAAGGTGGTGCAGAACAGTTCCTGATCACAGCACCAGAATTTGCATTACCTGCAGAAGAAAAAACATGAGAGAAAGTAGGAAAATCATGAGGGCACAGAACACAACAGACTGAGGCAGGGACAGAACGTAAAAACTGAGGCATAGAATCATAGAATCTTTGGGTTGGAAGGGACCTTTTAAGGTCATCTAGTCCAAATCCCTGCCATGAGCAGGGACATCTTCAACTAGAGCAGGTTGCTCAGATCCCTGTCCAGCCTGACCTGGAATGTCTCCAGGGATGGGGCATCTACCACCTCTCTGGGCAACCTGGGCCAGGGTTTCACCACACTCATTGTCAAAAATTTCTTCCTTAGATCTAGTCAAAATCTACCCTTTTTTAGTTTAAAACTGTTACCCCTTGTCCTATCGCAACAGGCCCTGCTAAAAAGTCTGTCCCCATCTTTCTTACAAGCCCCCTTTAAGTACTGGAAGGCTGCAGTAAGGTCTCCCCGAAGCCTTCTCTTCTCTAGGCTGAACAACCCCAGCTCTCTCAGCCTGCCCTCATAGGAGAAGTGTTCCACATCTCTAATCATTTTGGTGGCCCTCCTCTGGACCTTCTCCAACAGCTCCATGTCTTTCCTGTGCTGAGGGCTCCAGAGCTGAACACAGCACTGCAGGCAGGGTCTCACCAGGGCCGAGTAGAGGGGCAGAATCTCCTCCCTCGACCTGCTGGCCACGCTGCTTTGGGTGCAGCCCAGGATACAGTTGGCCTTCTGGGCTATAAGCACATATTACCAGATCCTGTCCAGCTGTTCATCTACCAGTATCCCCAAGTCTTTCTCGGCAGGGCTGCTCTCCATCCCTTCATCCCTCAGCCTGTACTGATACCAGGGGTTGCCCCGACACAGGTGCAAGACACTGCACTTGTCCTTGTTGAACCTCATGAAGTTCACACAGGCACATTCTTCAAGCTTGTCTGGGTCCCTCTTGATGGCATCCTGTCCCTCAGGCATGTCAACCACACCACTCAGCTTGGCGTCATCTGCAAACTTGCTGAGGGTGCACTCGATCCCACTGTCTATGTCACTGATGAAGATATTAAAGAGTACTGGTCCCAATACGGACCCCTGAGGGACACCGCTTGTCACCAGTCTCCATCTGGACTTTAAGCCATTGACCACTACCCTCTGGGTGTGACCATCCAGCTAATTCCTATTCCACCAAATGGTCTACCCATCAAATCCATATCTCTCCAAGCAGGAGTCATCCCCTGCCACCTTGTTTCAGCTCACAAACAGAACACAAATATTCAGAAAAAAAGAGTATAGTAGCAAACAAACCAGTTCAAAAGGGCATGAGAAAAGATAACAGTAGAGAAGCAAACAGAAAACAGAAAGCAACACAGCGTCAAGACTGAGGCAGGAAAGAGCCAAAGAGAATGTCATACATTCAAAACTCATTCAACAGTGTTTTGTTCTGATGTCATTTTCCTCCCACACTTTCACCCTCTAATTTTGCCATGTAAATTCCCCTTATTTCTCTTTCCCCAATCAATCTCTTTTCTTCTTTTTTCCCCATAATAATGCCTCATAGCCATCCCACTGTAGCAGGGTAGTACCTACTTTGAACAGTGGTATGTGTTATGGGATTGTATATGACATTGATCTTTGATCTCTGACATAAAGTTCTTGCTAAATCTTCACTCTGGCTGGATACTTCTGGATGGACTCTAGTTGTAGTTCCAGCATGCACACGCAAAGCTTTTGGAAGAGGTGGTGTTGTCTCTCTCTGGCCTTTTCTGGTAGGTAAAGTCACAGGACTGGAATTTGGAAGAAGTGGCCTGGATTCAGACTGATTTAGTTGAATGTTTTCTCTTCGCACTTGCTCCTTTGGATGGCTATTTAATTTCTTTTCAAGGATCATCTACAGAAAGGAGAAGTTGGTTAGACTTACCACAGCTACACAGCAGAGCAGAGGAACATCAACATAAAAACAAAGAGAAAGACTTACAAATAACTGCAATTTATTTCACAGGATAAGTAACAAGTATAATTTAAAAATTAATCTAGAGTTAGAAAAAAGATAAAAATAATATTCTCAGTGGAAAGAAAAAATAGGCTGAAGCATTAAGGATTGGATGAACAGGCAATTTCAATATATCTGAGGGAGAACACCTCTAAATAAAATATGCATTAGACTTAAAAAAGTCAGAATCTATACGCCCAAAAGGTTCACACTATGTTGTTTCTTACCATCCCTTTCTAGAACTTTGCAAAGCTGATTTTTAATGGTCAAAGCAACATTCATTCTGGTTGGTGCATAATTATTTCTCACCTACCTCTACACACTACTATCTAGCAACAGAATCCTTGCCAAGGTTTTGGGTCTTGGTGCAGACAATCTGTTCCCCACTTCCTGTAATCACAATAGTCCCAAATTTGACACCCTATCATTAAGATTATTTAAAATTATTCACTTGTTTCTTAGCCTTGTACCCAGATTATCTGTAACCAACATATTGACATTTAGAATATATTTTCTACCTGTGCTCAGTATTCACTTTACTAATTCATCTGCTCATGACTCCTAACACTCTATCACAGTAGAGTTTATTAGTTCGTTCTATTAAAGACCTTAAGAGAAATAAGAAAAGAGTAAAAATAAAAAGAATTAAAAAAAGAGTAAGTAGGTTCAACTTTTAAAATTCAATTTTATTTTTCCTTTCTTCAATTTTAATTGCTGTTAGTAGAGCAATAACACTTTTCCTCTCTGGGAAGGTGGACACACTTATCAGTCTTTCTCAGTCTTGGATTTTCTGATCTCTAAATTTCCTTTTCAATCTTTTCTTCTCATTGTCATTCTTTCCAATGCCTGTTTTACTACATTTACATTCCAACTCCTGCTCTTGTCACCATCCTCCAGTTCCTTTGCCTCATAACGTGGCATTTACATAATTTCTTCCACTGTAAAAAGGGAAAAAAACCCAACAAAAACTAAGCTAAAACCAATTTCTCCTCCTGAAGCCTTGATTTACTTTCACTTTTGCTGCTCCACATATTTCATTGTTAGAGCATTCACTCCGTCTGTCCTCGCCCTACTGCCTCAACACCACCATCCAGATCAGTTCAGTATCTCTTAATGTGTTATGTTTTCTGTTTACTTTTCTTCTTCTTTCATTTCTTTAGACACTCAAATGTTCATAGAATCATAGAATAGTTTGGGAAAAGGACCTTCAGAGATCATCTAGTCCAACCCCCCGGCCTTGGGCAGGGACATCTTTCACAAGATCAGGTTGCTCAGAGCCTCATCCAACCTGACCTTGAACACTTCCAATGATGGGGCATCCAAAACTTCTCTAGGCAACCTGGTCCAGTGTATCACCACCCTCATGGTAAAAGATTTCTTCCTTGTGTCCAGTCTAAACCTACCCTCTTTCAGTTTAAAACCATTGCCCCTTGCTCTGTCACTAGAGGCCCTGCTAAAAAGTCTGTCCCCATCTTTCTTACAAGGCCCCTTTAAGTACTGGAAGGCTGCAGTAAGGTCTCCCCAGAGCCTTCTCTTCTCCAGGCTGAACAACCCCAACTCTCTCAGCCTGCCCTCATAGGAGAAGTGTTCCACATCTCTAATCATTTTGGTGGCCCTCTTCTGGACACTCTCCAACAGCTCCATGTCCTTCCTGTGCTGAGGGCTCCAGAGCTGGTTGCAGCACTGCAGGGGGGACGGGTCTCACCAGAGCGGGGCAGAATCCCCTCCCTTGACATGCTGGCCACACCACTTTGGATGCAGCCCAGGGTACAGTTGGCCCTCTGGGCTGCGAGCGCACATTGCTGGCTCATGTCCAGCTTTTCATCCTACCAGTACCCCCAAGTCCTTCTCGGCAGGGCTGCTCTCCATCCTTTCATCTTCCAGCTTGTACTGATACCAGGGGTTGCCCTGACCCACGTGCAGGACCTTGCACTTGGTCTTATTGAACCTCATGAGGTTCATATGGGCCCACTTCTCAAGCTTGGGCTGTCCCAGCAAAGCCATCAGCCCCATTGTCCAGGCATGAAACTCATCACAACGAGTCATCAGGATTTCTCTGGATCACCTTTTGGACTAAGGGTGGCAAGAGATGGAAGGGTGACAGGGGGAGGATGCTGCATAGGGATTGGACATGTTATGGGATGCAGAGGAAAGCCATCTGGGATCACACAGGACTTATTATGGGATGTTTAGGGTAGGAACCAAAAGCAGGAAAAGAGAGGGGGTTTAGGTAATTTGGGGAGGAATGAGTGTGGGAAATAAAGGGTAAGTGGTATAAAAATGGCCAGTCGTGTGTAAATAGCTGGCTGGTCAATAAGCTTGTCTGGCCATACCCTGCACTTGATAATGCAGTTCACTCTACCTTCTTACTAAATTGCTTTCTCTTTTCTGGAAGAGAGGCTATCTATTCTGCCGACGTGTGCGTGTATGCTGGTGTGAATGGCAGCAAATGGAGTCAGATCACAGGTCAGAGGGCCTGTGTGTCCACTGTGCCAGCAACTGAAGAGAGTGCAGGTGTGTGAGTGAGCATGTGATCACTAGCAAAGAGCAAGTCAGACTATTCAGTGAATAGATCAAGTGGCCTCGGAGCAAGGGGGTGAGCAGGTCTCTAAGGGCCAGCTCTGGGTGTGAGCACCTGTGTATATCTAGGGGTGAGAACATGGGGGCGGTGGGCTGGAGGTCAGCTAAGGCACCTGGAAAGTCCCGGCCAGCTGTTTGTCTGCATGGTCTGTACCAGGAACTGGAGTAGGGCTGCAGCCTTGGGGGCTTGTATATCCAAGTGCCAGCAGCTGAGGAGACTGTGATCCAGGGGCCAGCTACTGAGTGTCTGAGACCAGCTGCTGCAGGGATCCACCTTGTACGTATGTAAATACATTCTCATGAGTGAACTTCCATCTTGCTCAGACAGAAAAGGGAACAAGATGAGGCTGTTGGTGCTGTCTATGTTTGTGTGAATGCTCTGAGTGCCTGCTTGCGACCCATGTGGCCAGCCATGTATATATGTTTATAAGTATATATGTAGTGTGTACATGTTTTCTGTCTGCATGTGCCTACTAAGAATACATCTTCAGCCTTGCTACTGGCCAGACGTGGGGACATGGAGTGGCAGCAGCGTCACCTCTCCTTGGACTATTTCATCCAGCATAATATAATTTCCTTTAACACACTCTTTTTCAGACATCGTGCTTTACAGACTTTTCCCAGTGGAAATCTAGATTTAAAATTATGACAGTATGGAACTGACTGATAAGAAACACCAAGATGTAACTGTAAGCAAATATGGAAAGCCTACGAGAACACAAATAGAAGAAAATTACAGACTTCATTAAGTGTATGCAAGAATGGCAGGTTACCTGGAAGATTAGGATTTTGGAAAATAGGATAAGAGAAAGTACCTCATACAATTGATTTCGATATTCTGCCACAGACAGCTGGATATCATCACCTAAAGGAAGAACCACATCATAATCCAGAGAGAGCTCCCTGGCAGGACAGTGAAACCTAAGAAGATGATAACATATAATGTAATTCACTAAGACTAAAAACAGCACCGCAGATTAATATAATATTAAAAAGGACTGTTAAATCATCTCATATGACCTTTAGTGTAAATAGGGTTAGAAAAAATTAAGAATTAGCTTTGTCTCTTTTTTTTTTTTGTATTATGCATATAAAGAAAACTTGTGCCAAGAGTAGGTCTATAACATCTCAGAAGACATCAGGGGAAACTGCACGTTAGTATTACTCTCACCTTTTCACATAAGGATGCCGCAGAGCTTCCTCTGCTGTGAGTCGTTTATCAGGGTTAAATACCAAGAGTTTCTTCAGAAGATCCAAGGCAGGCAATGGAGTAGAGGATGGTAAAATCTCCTCAAATGTTACTCGCTGCCTACAAGTCAGAAAACAATGATATAAGTTCCCAGTATCTAATTCACAGTGAAAGCATGAATTACAGTTCTGAGAATCACATCAAGGTGACACCTGACTCCAGAGTTCACTCACAAGTAATGTGTCATAATCCTGGAATACTCTAAAGTATAGGCCTGCGAGTACGGTGAACTCTTTTACCCCTTTGATTAGGTCTGAGAAGATGAAGTTTAAAAATATGGTTTTGCATTTTGAAATCCTAAAGGTAATAATTAACATAATGAACATGAGAATATCTAATACATTTGAAAAATCACTTTTAAAACATGATTCTTACTCACATTTTAAATAATTTTGTTACTCCATGACAACATTCATTTTGTTTAGACAATGATCCATCACTGAACATAGCATTTGGACTGAGTGTCTCAGAAAAAATCTTTTCAGTTTTGAAGACTAAAATTTCACTTGCTCTTTTACCTAGCTGGAGCCATCTATCAGAACCTAGCTGCTTTACTTTTGACTTTCACATTTTTTGGGGGGTGGGTGGGGGAAG